GGCTTCCTTCAGTTCCTCGATTGTCAAGGCTTCATTAAAAACCTTGCAATCTGCCTCAAACTTATTTTTCCCTTCCGGTCCGATACCCGTCGTGACATGCTTTAATGACCTGTCTCTTATACACATCTAGATGTGTATAAGAGACAGTGCCAGAAACATCTGACATGTGCCTGATGGTTCTTTTTTTTTTTTTTTTCTTGTGACTCGTGATTGATATGTCTGACACACCTGCAGGGCCCAGGTCCCACTAGCAAAAGGGATAGGATCGAGCGCCTGAATCTGAATGTGTTTTATGCAGAGATGCAGAAAAGCAGTTCAATCTCGATTTCCTGCACATCTCCATAACCTCATCTAGATTCAGGCATTCGATCGGATCCTCTTTGCTAGTGGGACCACTCCCCATGAGGTGGTACAAATGCGAATCAGTCCTTTGGGACATCGTTTAAAATTGGAAATTGGAACCATACAGATAAGATAGATTAGCATAGGGTTTGTGGTGTGTAGGGGTCTAGTTTTGGGTTTGAAGAAGAAGCAAGAAGCAATAAATGACTCACACATTACAGCATGAATCCGGCACATAACTCTGACGTGCAACAACATCAATGCTTGAACATTACAACATGAATCAGACGACCAGATTTAATACCTACGTCAAACACGTTCCGGAAAAAACGTTCCGGAAACTACGCCTAGGATCGACCAACAAGGGCCGACCGAGGTCAGGTTCCGTAACTAGTCCTACCTGCCGCTTCGTACCAGAACTTCAGCACAAACAAACAGAACATCCAACAAACAAAGCAAGCCTGACAAACAAAAGGACCCGGTTCAAATCCTACGCTACTCATTTCAAAACAAACCACTGTTGTCAGTCCATCGTTCCTAGTCTTCGTCCCGACTGACCCATACACCTACCCCCGTCAGGTCCACGGTTCAAGTCACTCTATCCTGGTCCAACTCTCAGATCACACACAGGCGACTAATCAATGGTTCTCACCTTGGTCCCATGAAACCAATCCTCATCCCCCACACACTAATTCCCAGATCAGTTTCCACAATGGTTCCTTATCCCTAGCAAAGTTCCTCAGAGCCTTCGAGAACAGTTTCTCTGGGTACTTCCGTCTTCGCAACTCCATCTTCAGCAGGATGACTGCTTCCATCACTCTTGCGCTGGTCACTGAATTCTGCCGAATTCTATGCAGTGCACTAACTATAGCCGTCATCTTTGTCTTTTTGCTCGACCATGGCTCGAAGTCCTAAGACGTACGGAACACCAAATCACCTTCGTCAATTAGCGCCCGCTCGTTCTTTGCTTTCTGATAGCAGCCAAGGTACGGGTACGCCTGCCTTACCACTAATTCACAGCCCAAAAATTCCCATGCATCTTCTTCTGCCTCCGTTTTCTTAAGGGTCAAATTCGGGTCGTAGCATTCCTCGAATTTCCTTATCATCTTCTCCGCTCTCTCTTTCGATCCGATTCTTCTTCTGTTGTATGCTATGAACACCGACGCATCATCCACGAAACGCAATCCAGCCACAAATCGCTTTTGCTCACCCAGGAAATCCCATTCTGCCTTTGCGCACATGAGACATGCCAATGGGGGGCTTGATGACTTCCCCATTGGAATCCCAATCTTCTGCAACAGGATACACCCTCCAGCCTTCGTGTAACATTTACGTAAATCCGATGTCACAAAATCAAACAGTGTCCGAAAATCCACTCGCCTATAGCCCTCCGGCTCACCTTCCCTGCACAGCTTCGTTCCTTTCCCTCTTCTTTTCACAACAACTCCCTCAAATCCCTTCTCCCTGTACCACCAGATACACCACTCCACAGACTTCATGATGGTCGAGTGCGGCAACTTACAAAACATGTCTTTTATGTCGTATGAAGCCGCCATCACTCGAACATCCGAACACGCCCGCCCCAATTTTCCGTTCATCTTCTTCAACTTTTCCCGCATTCCCGAAACTGATTTCAAATTAAAGTGACCGTTTTTTGGTAATCTGAACAGCATCGCGTTCAGACATTTTGCCACTGTCTTACATGCCATGACTCCCGGTTCAGCATACGTTGGACAAATTGGCCGGAATTTCGTCGTATCCTTGTGCTTAGGCAGCACATACTCCGATCCCAACTCGTCGTCCGCCTTCCACTTTCTCATCCCTCCATACTTCTTCTCTCTGAACTCCTTCTCCATTTCACTCAGAATTACCACTTCTTCCTTATTGCTTACCTCATAACCATCGTTTTCAATGAACGTCCCACGCATCGCTCTAAAATACACACTGGGACACATAACCAGTCTGTCCCCTGGATTCCTATCCAGCGGGGCGAGGACCAGATCTCGCAGGTTCCTTTTAACCGCGAGCACTTCTTCCACGTCAGTACTTTTGATTCATCGACACACTGCATCAAATCCTCCTATAGCGGCCTCTCTGTCACCATCTCACCTCCCAGCCAATCTAGGTTCGACAGCCCCAGGCTAATTTCCTCCTCCAACCTTTCATGGAGCGCTTCGATCCGGAATGTTCTTCGCATTCCCAGCGATCCTTGGGCAACCCTGCCATGTGGACAACCGGAATAGGACGTACCCATCTTCCTTAGGAAGGGTCATGCCGATGCACGTGCATCTGACAAATCCATTATCCGCACTACGGTGGTGATTATGGATGATTTCCCCCACGTTGGGACTTCTTGTCCAAACAACGCGGGTTGTACGTCTAACCATACTCCGGATTTCCGCATCTAGGGGTAGCTCGCCGACTAACCTCCTCACCAATCTCACCRCTTCCGCTCTCTTCACTCTCTCATCGAATCTCACTTTCACCACTACTCTTCTTCGAATATTCACATTGTGACATTTCTTAATTGCGTCGGAGATCATTTTCCTGGCCCGAGACCGACTCTGCTTCTGTGAAAACAACTTTGTTGCACTTTAGAAATGAACCAGCGTCTTCAATGGACGTTGCACTAACTTCGCGGCTCTCTTCCGATTCTTGAACATTCTCACGATCTCTTTCTTCAAATTCAAGCTGCAAGGGGATGTTTCAACTACGTCCCGCAGCACAATCTCCCGTCTGCTTTCCAGTAGCTTCTTACATTTCCTCAACGATCTTGTCCTTCCTTCAACTTTCACACGCGATTCGCCAAATAACCGACGCACAACCCGCCACTTATCGCTCCTACTCCACCTCCATTACCATACACCTTAACCTCCTTCCCGTGGCTCGGTTCAATCAGCCTCCTCAACATACTGCGTAGTCTAACCGTTGCTTCCCCTTCTTTCCCTTGTTTCCAACTCAACACCTTAGTAGCTACTCTCTCCACGTTTGGTTCTACGTCTTCCTCCCCATCGTGCTCTCTCCTCCACTTCTTTGCACGTTTCTTCTTTCCCGCTCTACGTTGTTTCTTCGTATTCCTTCTTTTTCCCTTCGAGTTCAAAGACGACGCCCATTCCCGGATTAACGTCCTCTCTACGGCTTCCAGTTCCTCTCTTACACTATTGCAAAACACTGGAATCGCAACGTATTTATGCACTCCCACCTTCCCCAACCAATTATACAGATTCCTACTTCTCTTACCACGTCCTTGGACAGTACAACCCACGTGCTCCCTCCACCTAGCCCACAATTCACGTTCGGTCATCCCCACGTACACCTATTTATGCCATCGGGACATCAGGATATATACATAACCTTTTGGGTAACGCAAATCCAAACTACCCTTCTCACATTCGTCCCTCCAATACTCCATGAACTTCTTTCCCCATCTCACATCATGTATGATTAGTTCAATCACCGCTAAGCGCATAACAGCTTCATCTCCCTTGTTCTTAATCCCCCCCAGTTGCCACTTCTCGGCCAACTTACTACAAATACCCCAAGAATCACTCCCTTCCCATCTTTATTCACTATTTTCATCGGTCGCCTTCCCTTCCCTCTGCTCAGTGCGCCTTACACTCCGGGTCACTCTCATGTTCGATGTTGGCGACAATGGCAATGGGATGTTGACCGGATCATAAGCCTTCAATACTCGCCTTGTTGTCAATCTCTTGATCGCCAACTCCCACTTACCGTACGTCACCTTTTCCAGTCTACAGGCTTCCTTCAATTCCTCGATTGTCAAGGCTTCATATAAATCCTTGCAATCTGCCTCAAACTTATTTTTCCCTTCCGGTCCGATACCCGTCGTGACATGCTTTAATGATAACCCAATCTTTTCAAAGGGTTTCAATATCGAGCTCGACGTCGCCTTCCCTTTTTCCGCACTCCGCAGCTCTTCAATTCTCAGTTTTGCCGTCGTGGATAGCCCGGTCCTCTTCGTTGGAGTCATCATTGGCGGACTGTCCCCTATCAGCATTTCCTTCCTTCGCTTCCTCTTCTCATGGATGCTTAATCCCGCTGCACGCCGTCTTAAAAATAGGAGTTCGTCCTCCTCCTCCTCCTCCTCCACTTTCGCAGCTTCTTGCAATGCAATCTCTCGACAGAGTCTTTCCTTCTCCTCTTCAATAGTCTCACCACGCTCGTTGGTCTTCACAGGTCTCCTCGCTTTTGTGTCATACTTTCTTGGTTCCAGCTCCTCACTCTCGTCCTTCTTTCATGTTTCCTGCCGTATCTCCATCCTAACCAGGTACAACAGTTGATCGTCCCGTTCCTTCTGCTCTCGCTTCTTCTCTGCTTCTTTTTCCAGTTTCCTCCTTGCCTTCTCCTGTTTCGCAGCTTCCGCTTCTCTTCCAGCTTTCTCTCGCCCCTCCTTCTCGATCTTCTCAACTCTCGCACGTTCCTTACGCGCAAAGTACTCCCTCATCAGTGTATTCGTCTCATCTGATTCGCTTCGTGCTGTATACCTATCCGCTGAGAGGCTCCTCCGCTCGGCGCCCGGCGCCATCGTTCGCCCGGTCCGCCCTATGCCCAGCAGCAGGGGTACGAAGGGTTTGTTACTCTCCTTCGCTTCCCAATACTCTTTGCTTACATTTGCAAAGTGGTCCGGGTCGCCACACTTGTAGCATGTTCTTCCCTCCATTGGATTTCGTGGATATGACGGGGGCGGCCCACCACTCCCTGAACCACTCGCCTCTTTCTTCCCGCCACCGCCGCCCGACGTCTTTGAGCCACTTGCGCTACTCATCTTGTCCCTTACTGTCTTCTCCCTTCTCGACTTGCCTCACTCCTATCCTTCCGCCGAAGTGATCCCGTTCGTAGTCGTTATCTAATTACGAACTAGTGTCGTAACATCTTCGTCTTCAGCTGCCACCCTCTCTAGGTACAACCGTGGATGCAAGAAGCAATAGATGACTCACACATTACAGCATGAATCCGGCACACAACTCTGACGTGCAACAGCATCAATGCTTGAACATCGACATGAAACAACATTCATTGTCTGGAAATTGTCGAAAGATTATGAAAAGATAGTCCCTCGTAGCCAGATAGCCCGTAACAACAGACATGAAAGCTCAAACGTGTGAATCGTTGTTCACATCGACTCGTAACTCGCTTGAGGCGAGAAAGGAGTTAGTCCGACAGACGGCCAGATTTAATACCTACGTCAAAAACGTTCCGGAAAAAACGTTCCGGAAACTACGCCTAGGACCGACCAACAAGGGCCGACCGAGGTCAGGTTCCATAACTAGTCCTACCTGCCGCTTCGTACCGGAACTTCTGCACAAACAAACAGAACAAGTCCAACAAACAAAGCAAGTCTGACAAACAAAAGGACCCGGTTCAAATCCTACGATACTCAAACAAACCACTACTGCCAGTCCATTGTTCCCAGTCTTCGTCCCGACTGACCCATACACCTACCCC